CTCACGCACAGTCCCGTGAAATTTTTCGGTGGGAAAATGGCTAACTCGGAAACTTGAGAAGCTGGGGGACTGAAATTTTCAGTGAGTTTTCCCAGTGTATGTACAGCTTAAACTTATTGAATTCAGACTCTTGGTGTGCGTGGTTCTCATGTGCGGCCCCATGGAAATTTTTGGCGGAGAAATTGAATTCGGGGACAGGAAAGCTGGGGGCTGAGATTTTAAAGGTATGTACCCAGCCCTCCTAAAAGTTAAAGATATCAAATTCAGCTCCCAGGTATGTATGGTTCTCACGTACGGGCCCATGAAATTTTTTGGCAGGAAAATTGCTAACTCAAGAACCAGAGAAGTTGGAAAGCTGAAATTTTAACTGGATGTTCCCTGTCCAAGTATCATGTAGACAATTAACTTCCCGAACTTCGAGGATCAGTATGTCACAAATCTCTAGCCACTGGGTTCCTGAGCGATCTCATTACAGCACGAAATACTGCAAAAACGGGTGATCGCACGGACCCGTCCAGTTTGTGTCGTCAATGATTTTTGTCAAAAAACGGTGTTCTCCGGCATAAAAATTCTTCTCGATCAAGTTCCCAGAATATTGATCTTGATTTTCCTTATATTCTGTTTTAGGTTGTTTTTTGTCGGAATTTCTTTGCATGGCTGAAACTCCATTGTATACCGAATCTGGACATTTCAAGGATGGTATTGCAGATTTGGCAGCCGGTACAATGGGTAAGTGAACGAAAAATCATTGATAATTATTAAACGGCAGAGGCCTGGGCCTGCCAGAAGAAGTTAGTAATCCCTTCAGAAGACGGGGACAACTGCGAGACTGCTAGTAGGTTGAGCATCAAACGATGCGGGATTGAACAGAACCAATGTAAAAGTTGCCAACTGCGTAGTTAGAGGCAAAGGCAGTGAACCACAGCTAACCGAAGTGTTTCGCGTCACAGCTGCGCTTCTTTTTATTATGCGTTTTGTGCAGTGTAACAGCAGTACAAAACA